ATGCAGTTGAGCATGGACCAAACCTCCTTAGGATTCTGTTTAACCGCCTAATCGCTGGTGTGCAGAGAGCCCAGTCTAGCAAGAATCCTGTGAGCGCAGTTTAATTTCACGCTGATGTCCTCTCACATCCAGTGATGCCACACCCTGCCCTTGGGCTACTCGTCCCCTCCCAGAGGTGCCTGTTGAGTCCTGCCCCCCCTCCCACAGTCCTGTCCCATGGTCCTTCACGACTGTCAAACTCTGCCGAGCGTCCCTTAAACTCCACGTCTGTAATGTCCACATGGGGCAGCAGGAGACAGCTGATTATGAAAGTCACTGCCAAGTGCACGGGCGAGTGCTGGGTTGTAAGCTGGACAGTCGCCGGGGAGGAGCGCAACAGCCCTGGGTTCTCACCTGGGCACATCTGCCAGCAAGGGCAGGCCAGGGACGGGGGACGAGAGTGCCAGGGACACAGAGGTCTGCACAGCCCCTGCTTGCTGGTGTCACCGACACACAAGCGGAACGCAGCCACGTCAACCGCCCTCCCTCAGCCTCCAAAGATCCCGAGTGAGCTCCCTCAGGGCGCAGGGGCGGCACAAGGAGCCTGAATTAGAAACCCGGTTCCAGGAGCCAGCAAGGTACACCAGTCTAGAACAAGTGTCTGCTTGACTTGAACCACTAAACAGCGGCACATCTGATAATTATTTTCTAATGATATGTCTTTAGACCTATCTTCCCACACAACAATTAGCTCTGGCATGTTTAAAACCCTGGGAGAGTATTTTGAGACATAAAGGACCAGAAGGCAAGTCAACAAGAATAAATTTGTAAAAGGATCAGGAGTTGTAGCCCAGGAGCACCCACCACGGCAGCATAAAACCCTGGATTTGTGCATGTTTGGGGGGTCACAAGATACACTGAACAGCAGGTAAGGTTAGAGCTATACTGTGTGCATCCGCCTGCTACAAAGTAACCTTAAAAATGTGGGCAAGGTGATGTAAATGCTCAGAAATACTCTTGTGTTCTGTTCTCTTTCTGGATTTTTCTCCTGCTTACAGCATTTATTCCTTGCAAAGTATGCAACACCACGCATGTGAATTAGCAACACAAAAGAGAAGTTGGCTTAGCCTTTAGGTCTCTATTAGGAAAACCCTGGGTTCAATTTAGCCTATTGCCCAGAGAAAAATTTTTCCAGACTCTAGTTGTATATGTCATTTCTCTTTATAAATATGCGTTTGCATAGGAAGCAATCCTTTGTAAGTTGTTTGTGCAAGAAAATGAATTGGTGCTTTTTTATTTCAATGTAAATAAAATGAGCTGTAATAACCCCCAATTAGCACATTAAAATAAGTTGAAGATTTGTTTTATCATCTCATTGTAGAGGAAAAAAAGGCAGCAACGAGAGCCTCATATTAGTGACAAAAACAGAACCAGTTGTTTGCCTTCAAGAGCAGAGAAAATCTAATTTAAAACTCTCTGCGAATCTTTGATAATTAATTTCACACCAAACACGCCATTAGAAGGTCTATAAAACATCTGATCATTTACAGAAAAACCAAACCAATGATTTTCCCCAAAACAAGAATGTCGACAATAAAAATTTAATATGCGTAATGAGATTAGGAGGGGAACAAAGCCAAATCAAAAGTTTTGACCTGGCTTTTTTCTCTCAAAGGTGGTGACTTCCGGTGTGGCCTTGAACTTGATAAGGGAAGGGGCTGATCGTGACCTTTTAAGTGGCCAAAGTGACTGAAAGTCTAGGAATGGTCAGAAAGCTAGGTGGGCATGGGGTGGGGCCGTGCATGTGTTTGATCATGTGTTGCGCCGTGTGTGGTGTGGGTGTGCTTGGGCATGTGCATGAAGAGCACGCAGAGTTTGCGTGGGGCCGGTGTGTGCTTGCACACGTGTGTGTGAGGCTGTGTCTGTGGTGAGGTGCTTGGAGAAAGGAATAAGGAGGGGTGAGTTAGGTCCTGTTTGCGTAGGAACTAGAGCTAGCAACTTCTCTGTGGGTTCTTGCTAAATTAGTTATTAATTACTGATTAACTAATTATTATTAGCTATTAGTCTCTGATCTTTATTAGACTAGTCCTAGATGACAGGCGCTTTTCATAACATCCTGGGGTCATAACATTCACCACACCTGGGTAGATCCTCCTGCCACACAGTGTGGGTGGGTGGGTGGGTGCGGCAGGCGCTCCAGGGCGTGAGCTGCATGGTCATGTCCAGGGTGAAGTGGAGGACTTCTCAGGTTTACTTAAGACTGAAATGCTGCAAAAATTGCCCCATGGACTTTCCCTGCTTAGCTACAGCCACCATGAAACCCTCGGCCAGGGTCCCAGCCTCCGCTGTGTTCTGCGGGGAATGACCAGCAGGTGGGCTGCCCACCTGAGATGCCTCCTTACCTGCCTGAGTCCAAGCAGAAGTGCCTGGTCCCCTTGCTGGTGCCAAGTGTCCTTGCTGGACAGTGCTGTCCTTGCACGTCTTTCCTGGAATGAGCCACCTCTATGGGCAAACAGGAGCCCTGGCTGAAAACCAACACAGGGTGAGTGCACGGCCGCTTCCTGGCTGTCCCTCCTGGGCAGAGCTCTCTGGCTTTCACCTGTGCCAGGGTGCTGGCTGGCAAGGCCCTGCCCTGCAGAGAGGTCACTGGAGCCCCAGGGAACGGGGAGTCCAAGGTCAAGCCTTAGCGTGGCAGGATGTAGGGCAAGCTGGGGACGTGGGGGGAAAGACAGATGGACGGGAGCTTCGCGACGCCCCTTAGCAGGACCAGCCGTGACTATCTGTTGGTAGTTTTGTTTTGTCTTGTACCAGTTAAAGACGAGAATTCCTAGGAGAGCGAGCGCTGGTCGAGCCTGGGCCCTGGGTCCTGCCTTCGCTGCGGGAGCATCCTCCCCAGGGCAAACACGGGGTTGGCCTTCACCCTTATTGCTGCCCGAGCCTCCTCCAGGACACCGATGCTGTCACTGTAGAGGATCCGCCCCGGGGAGTGGGTGCCCAGGGCTGCCTTCCTTGACCCAGAGGGCCTCCTCCCTGCGGAAACGCCTCCACCCGCCTCGTCCTGCTGCTGCCGCCTCGCCCTCCTGAGTTGGGCTGTCCTTCCGACCCCACTGTCTCCCCACCTCTGCTATCCCCGACCCTGTCCCCTGGCAGCGTCTGACCTACCCTGTGTCTCCCTCTATTTTGTCCCAGGACAGGCTCAAGCCACACTGGATCCACCTCTCACCCCAAACCCTACAGTTGGTGCCCAGCAAGCTCCAAAGAAAATCTCGGACTCACGGTGCCAGCAAAGCTGCCGGGCTTCCTGCCCCACCCTGCCCTGCCCTGGGCGGTCCTGCTGCCTGGGCTGCCTCGGTTAGCCTGTCCTCCTGGGGCACGTCCTTCCACCTGGCCCTGCCCCGGGCACCCTTCTCAGCCCTCATCACGGCTTTGGCTTCCCTGGTGGTCACTGCTCCCCTCTCCCTTCCTCACCTCCGCCGATGATGTCCCCACCTCACTCATTGCTGTCCCTTGAGAAGTCACCTCTGTGCAGGAGGGAGCTCTGCTAGGTGCCATGTCTCGCTCTGCCCTCAACACTTGGAATAATCCCTGCCGCGTGGTCAGTGCCCGCTGGTGCCCACTGATGGATGAAGAGACTTGTGGGAGACTGCCTTGGCGTGCCCGGCACCGGTGAGCACCGCGGGTGCTGGTTCGTTCACCTGCGTTTTGATTTAGTAAACAAGGGAAAGGCGATTGGTGATTCTCATCCTCTGTTTTAAAAATCTGAATGCATTTGAAAGGAGTGCTCTGCCGCGTGCGGCTGGCCAGCATTAGATCTTCCTCCAGCGACGTTCCACGGGAGTCAGGCCAGACTATCAGGTGGCCACTGAACAAGAAAATGAAAACCCGGAATAGGGCAAAAGTCACCCCGCCGTCCCTCCAGGGCCCGCGTGCTCTGGATGCGTATTGAGCCTCGCCGTGCTGAGTTTCCGCTGAGCGCTTTGTGTGTATTAAATTGCTAATTCTCACGGTCATGGTGTTAGTTTTCTACAGCTGCTGGAATCAATGACCACAAACTTGGTGGCTTAAATGTGCAAATTCATTCTCCTCTTTCTGGAAGCCAGAAGCCAGAACCCCCGTGTGGTGGTGGGGCAGGGGCGGGGCGGGGGCCGCGTTTTGCCTGTCTGGGGAGGACTTCCTGCCTCTCCTGTGTTGGTGGCTGCCAGTGTCCTGGGCTCCTGGCTGCATCCCTGCAGCCTCTGTCTTCACGGCCACCCTCCATCTAGGTTTCCTACAAGGACAATGTCCCTGGATCAGGGCCATCTGGAGGTCCTAAACTCACTGACTTTTGCAAAGACCATTTTCCTACCTGGAGTCACACTCAGAGTTTTGACATGGACACCTCTGGGTGCATTTCAGGTTCTCCATGACCCGCCATGCCGCAGTCCCTACCACGTCCTGCACAGGTCAGCAGCAGGACGGGACTGGGGAAGGGGAGCAGCCCAAGGCCGACCTCCAGCCAGCACAGAGGGAGCCTGGGCCTGGCTCCAACCGCCTGCTGTCCCCAGCACACCACAGACCCGGAACCAGGCCCTCCTCCACTCTCCAGGGCCAGCGTGAGTCTCATCTGCTGCCGACGGCATCGAATGTCACCAAAGGATCTGTAGAGCTCAGCAGCCAGCCAGGGATGGGCCTGGTAGGTCTGAGGAGCCGAGAGCCCAGGGGGCGGCCCCGAGTGGGCCTGTCCATTCTCCCCCCTCCGCGGGCCGTCCTGATGGAGATCACACCCACCCAGGCGGGGAGCACAGGGGAAGCCCTGGCCACAGAGACAGCCGAGCGCGGGCAGCACTCTCCCTCTCGGGCTCCGTGGTGGGGCACTGGCCTGCACCCAGGGGACCCTGGGTCCACCCCCAGCGCCGCAAAAGAATGAAAACAAAGGCTCTTTCTGTCTGCGGCTAGAGGCACCACACCCACCCCATGCATCTGGACTCACGCTGGCTCCTGATCGGAGGCTGCCAAGTGGAGGCCACGCCGGGAAGGCCGGAAGCAGCCGCTATGGCCCTGGCATCTGGTCTTGTCCGTCAACAACACAGTGCTGTTTAACACAGGGCGACTGCGGGTCACCACCAGTGTCGAGGGCTCTTGTGAAGGCCGTCTTATTTTAGAACTGGAAAGGATGTGGACACCACCAAGTTCAAGGCCCTCATTTAGAAGCCGGCCATTCAAGGCCCAGTGCTCCCGAGAGACCTCGCCCGGGGCACAGAGTCACTCATCCAGCTGGCAGCTCAGTGTCCACTGAGTGACCCGCTGGCACTGCTCGCTTCCTGCCCAGGCTACATCCTGCACAGGGACGGGGACATTTCTTCCCAGCAGAGGGGACGGCTCCTGGTGGGGACCGGATGAGGCGCTTCTCTAGCAAACGCACCAGGTTTGGGCTCTCCTCTTGACCTGTGCCACTCGGAGCCTGGGGCTCTCGTGGTCCCCGACTGCAGCCCTGACATTTCCCCCCCCCCCGCAGTCTTCCAAGGACACCGTGGTTTTAAGGATCCGGCCTCTGTCTGGAGGCTGTCTGCAGGAAACGGAACCCCTCTGCACCCACACAAGCAGACGGACACTGCCCTGGGGAGTCTGTGGTGCACCTCCTTCCTGACTCTGGGGAGGGGCCGCCTCAGAAAGGCCGGTGGTTTCAGCAAGAAAGAGGACATCTGTCCACCCAGGACACCTGTGAGGAGGTGCTGAGGAGCAGAGTGTGCAGGGGTGGGGTTCGGGGGTTTTTTGGGGGGGTTGTTGTTGGGCGGGGCTTGGGGAACTTGCAGGAATGACTTAGACACTGGAGAATGGGAGCTCGTGGTGCAGGACAGCAGTAGAATCCAGGAGTGGAAAGGCCCGTGCGTATGAGTGCCCTGCGGCTGCGACAGATCACACCCTGAGGGCAGGGAGCCACGCTGTGCACTGGCCCTGCCAGACCCAAAGCAGGCCCTTCTCAGGGCCACTCCCTCCAGAGGCTCCAGAGGAGCGGTCCTTGCTGACTCGTTCCAGCCTCTGGGGGCAGCCAGGGTCCCCTGACTGTGACCACCTCACTCCCACCTCCACCCGGTGGTCACTCCTGCCCTCCTTGTAGGAGGACATGTATGATGGCCTTTGTGTTGCCCACAGGGTCCTGGATGATCTCCACATCTCAAGACCTTCAGCTTGACCACATCTGCCAAGACTCTGTCTCCGAGTCACAACATTCTCCAGTTCCAAGAATCAGGTCTGGATTGATGTCCTGGGCCATTGCTCAGCACCGAGGGAGGGGACTCTGGGCGCTGGGTTCTGGGGGGTCTGGTCTGCCCCACTAAGAACATGGGATGTGGGCCTCATTCCTGAACCCTTCCTGAGCAGCCACCCAACCTGCCCCAGCACGCAACCCCCCAGGGCCAGGTGGAACACCACCGCCCTGGGCCTGCCCGTGTGTGCCGTCCACTCCGCCACGTGCGGTCCAGTCAGTCACCTCCAAGTCACCTCTGAGGACAGAAAAGACATCTTTCTCCCGGGACGTTTTTGAATCCAAAGGTTATTTTCCTGCAGCCACCGCAGTCTTAGCGAGCTGCACGGGGTGGCTCTGGGCTGGGGCCGGCTGGCGGGAGCCCCAGGCTCACTGCTGGCTGGTGAGGGGCTCACCTGGCGAGTCACCGCAGCCTCTCTGTTGAGCCCTCTGGCAGAACACTGTGTCCTCAGGCTTTTTCTCTGTCTACCCTGGGACGGGCCAGCTGCAGGTTTGAGCCTGGGCCAGGGCCTTGACCATCCCCGGTGCTAATAAAGCTGTTCAGAGAGTTGTTCCAAGCCCTGCCGAGACACCATTCCAGAGTCCTGCCCTTCCCTGAGCTAAGCACCTCAGACCCACATAAACCCCAGCCCAAACCCTGGTCCCCAATGGACCTGGGCCCAATGTGTCTCTCTTGCTGTCCATCCGGAGGCCGTGGCCTTCCTCTTGCAGGTTTGGGCTGACCGTCCCCTGTGCTTCTCCCTATTGCAAGCCCCGCTGGCCCGTCCCCTGCAGGGAGAGTGCCTTCTGCTGTGTTGGCAGTGATTCCAGCCACGGGCCCCGCCAGGCCAACCTCGGTGCAAGTCCTCGTGACCCCACTGAGTGCACACGCCCATCCTGTGTGTGGTGACCCTGTCCCCAGTCCTACAGGGCAAGCCAAGGAGGCCCCAGAAGCCCACCCACCCACTGGCTGCGTGGGTAGAAGCAGCAGCCGAGCCAGGCAGCCTGTCCCTGGTTGCTTGCTTAGCCCCCGCCTCCTGTAGCCTCACAGATTCATCCCGACCCAGCGACACGGGGCGCTAAGATTGTGACCACCCCGGGGCGTAAAGAGGCCAGCCCACGCGGATCCCCTAGCAGCCCCACACTGAGCCTGCTCATTGAAAACTGATGGCATCACCAGTTCACCTAGTGACGCTGAGGGCTTTGGTCTCCACCGGGACAGCCGCCCCACTCCGGTAGCTGGTGTCTGCCCAGGGACGAATAGGCAGGTGTACCGAGAAGGACATGTCCTGAGCGTCCCCCTTCCCCACGGTGGGCCTTTGATCTCAGGCCCTTCCCACCTGCCATCATGACCCTTCGTGGGTCTCTGTCCCCTGAGTTCAGTCGAGGAAGCTGCGATGACAAGGAAGAGTTCTGCACTTGGGTTCCTGGGCTCCTCCCAGGATACGAAGAAGGGTCTTCGGGCTGGGAAATTTGAATAAAGAGATGTTCTCCTTCTAATTTAATTGCATCTCTGCCGGTAATTCAGAAACCATCATGGGCACGTACATTTCTGAAAGGCTTTTCAAAGAATTTAAGCCCACCATTTAAAATTCTCATTATGCTAGGAAATAGTCCCTTTGGGGCCCAACGGTTTTCTCTTTGGTTGCACAATCCCTCGAGGTACGGATTTCAATTTAGAGCTTTCCACTTGGAAACCGGGGCGCGCAGCCGCGCAGGTGGCTCCCCCCTGCACCGGGCACGCTCGCCTTACAGGTCCACGAGCCAGAGAGCATTCATCAAACTTCCGCAGCGTAATGAGTCCTTGCTGCTGGGATTGAACGCAACAGGTAGAGAGAATGGCATTTATGCATATTTATTGGCCAATCTCTCCGTTTGCTGAGGACCATTAGTACAACTGGTGACAAACTTTCCGTTGATTTATATGAGTCTCTACAAAAGCAGAGACCCACGCCGTTTTCAAGCCATGATTGCGTTTCTCGGGAGACTCTCCCTTTCAAATGATCTTGTTAGATATTGTTAGGAATTGATACATTTGCATTCCATGAATGTTAAAACTCAGAAAATACTCAGCCTCCAATTAGCGCCATCGAGTCTTTCCCTAATTAATCAGTCACGACCCAGCAGCTCCAGGTGTGTTCCCCTGGCTGAGCATTAGTCTTGATGACCCGCCAGTCAGCCCACGTGGTCCCTCCAGGGTGA